ATATGCAATCTTCAGTGGCAGGCGCGTGTTATAATGCACTAACACCTTATTCTGTTGCAGTAATTTCTTAGCATCTTCAAATGCTTTAGCACATTCAGTAATCCAAACCCACTTACAGTCTTTCTTCAGTTCAGCTGCCACTTCTTTAGCCAGTTTCGGCCCATCAGAGCAGGTCTGTTTCCCTTAAAGAGGTGGTATTATGCTCATTTTCAGGTTCAAAATCCTATTTAGGGTTGTACCAGAACAGGTTTACATGGTTTAATTTTCAAAAAACACCATATTTTTTGCCATACCGCACATTGCTGCAGCTCCTCTTTTCACCCTGTGTTAAAGGTTTCGTTTTAGCTATGGAGTGATACATCTTGTCTCTAAATGATCTTTGTTGGGAGTTGCACATGCGCAGTTCCTAGTTAAGGATTTACTAGCCAATCAGAAGCAGAGAAAGGCGGGTCAGCGAAAATACAGTAAACAGCTTCAATTTAGCTGTAGGCTACATGTTGCCGACCAGGTTGGCAACAGACTGGAGCAAGAGTTTCAGAGTGGTGAGTTATTAATCTGTAACAAAAGTATCTTTCATCCATAAAGTTTTAACTGAGCTCTGTCTCTACATCACAGTAACAACTTCATTGTCCATTGACTGCTTGGAGGGTAGCTAGTGTTTGGAAGGGAGAGGAGAGGTGTGCTGCAGCTCAGTGTTTTTCCACTGCTGTTTTTGAGGGAGTGTCTGACTACTCCCTCAGCGAGCATTATGACACGTTTTTTCATTGTGAGGTCACAAGAAAGGGAAGTAAAGGCAGGACTACAAACGAGCTGTTTTTCACTTTGCAAACCTAGTACATGAACAAAAAAGATATATAACTCAATAAATAAGAGGGAAAAAGCCAAAATCCATAATACCACCTCTTTAACAATGACCAGTAGTAGAGTGACTTGCTGTGTCTCATACTGTACTGGTATCATAATGTACCCTCGAATAGCAATTCTTTGACCCGAGTATGATTTCAACTTTAATTTGAAAGCTTGTTTTAAAGAGAAACAGGTGAGGTTTGCCTGGTAAAATGTGTCAGATACCACTGACACCGCTGACCCAGTATCCCGCAGCATAGTTGTGGGCTTTTCATCCAGTGCCAGACTCACTGTGTAACCTTTTTCACAGCCTAGGGTAGAGTATACAGCATACACTCCAAAAAGCTCTGTGAGATCATCTCTTCCACATGCATTCACTTCAGTGTCCACATACTGAGTTTGAGAAGTGAATTTTCCCTTTCTGCAAGCATGGGCGATGTGTCCAGTTTTGGAGCAGGCATGGCACTTTTCAGTTTTAAATCTGCAGTCATGTGCTGAGTGTTTTCCTCCACAACCATAACGTCTTTGCTGCATTCCAGTGTCTTGTTTTGTCCCTTTCTGGCCCTTTGGTCTGTTATTATTTTCTCGCCTGAACTGTCCTTTCTTTCCCTTTTTAGAAAAAGTATGAAAACTTGACAAGGCAATTACGTGACGAGGCTCATGGTGTCGTGAAAGCTCCATTGTATTTTTGGATGCAAGCTCCATGGAGACTGCAATGTCACAGGCCAGCGAAAAAGTCCGATCATTTTCCGCCAGCAACCTGCGCTGTGCAGCATCAGATCGCAGTCTACTGACAAATTGGTCTCTGAGGACGTCGTCCAAATATTGTCAAAAATCGCAGGTGGCTGATAACTGCCTCAAAACCACAACATAATCCTAAACAGTTTCCCCTTCTTTTTGGTTACGTTTCTGAAAACGTTCAGCAATCACCACGAGTGCTGGTTTATAATGCGTGGTCAGCGCTCTGGTAAGTACAGCATATTGCAATGTACTGTCGGGGACACAAGATTCTTCAGCAGCTTGTAAGTGTCCGCTCCAATCACGGAAAGAAACACGCATACCTCATCCTCGACATCATTTGCCAACATCCACTGCTCCAGATATGAATCAAAATCCTCCTTAGACTCGTATTCATCCATGCGACCCGCTTGCAAGGTCATGTTAGCTTGTTCGATGATAACTGGTAATGGCACGTGCCTGTGGTTTCCGTACGACCAGTGGACAGTCCCCGTTTCAATTCTTTAATATCCTTGTCGCCATTGTGATATACTGGTACGTGTACTCAAAAATCAGGCTGAGAGGGATGCGTTAACTCACGTTCTTTACATAGCAACCACAGGAAGTACAACAACACTCACACAGGTTACAGCGCGGTCAGTAAATACAATCCCGTTATTTGTTTGCCAGTCTAGTACACTTACTGTTGGGCATGCCGTCGAGTTCAGAATACGCTATCACTGATATCTTTAATAAATATGGCATAATATAGTATTTCAACACGCTCCTTATGTCCTTACAGCACAGATGGAGTGAGTAGTGGGGCAATATTGGAAAAGGGAACATTTTTTTCATCGTTTTGCGCTATGGTAGCATTTTTCGACAAGGCAGCATATATCGTCAGAACATATTCTGTTCTTTAGATTATATTATAACATAATTTCAGGGGTAGCGTAGTCTGAAAGACTAATACCCACTATCAAATAATGCCACTCCATATTGCACCACTGCTGACTCCATGTGTACTGTAAGGAGATGGTGAACATGTTGAAATACTATATTATACCATCTTTATTTAAGATATCAGGGGTAGGGTATTCTGATTGAATAATAATGATTTATTGTTTTAATATTGCTGATGATCAGCCACTGTCTCGAGGGCATGCCCAACAGCAAGGTTGCACAGATTTATGGGCGTGGAACCGATAAGTAGCACGTCTCGATAAGTAGCATAAATCGACAGAACACCGGCCCAGCCACTAAGCGGCCTTTGCGGTGGCATAGGGCCCCATGGCCAGCAGAGGACCCCTTACAGTCACTGCTTGGTAGTGGTGGGAAAAAATCACTGAAAAAAGAAACGTAAAAAATAATAACATACAATCATATACAGATTGCTTTATTACGCATCATAATACACAGTGGTTATTTAATATAGTTCTTTATTATAATCAGCTGTCCTGATGGGTCAGCTCACTCGGACCTCCCCGTGACTCCCATAGACTGTATATAAAAAGGTGACTCCTCACCCTGTCTGACCCTGTGACGTCACTCGTTAAGCTGGGTCAGTCCGAGGCTCTGATGATGTCTGACAACAGAAGATGACAAAGACAAAGTTATGTAACAAGTTAAGCCCACGGGCTCCATTTTCCAGTGTCTGACGTCTTTCGCATTAACAACTTCAGAATAACTTCACACGTGGTTAGATATTGTTATGAAATGATTTTTTCTAGGCAGACCTTGATGAACCCTGGGGTTATTTTGCAGAGTACATTGACCTGGACTTGAGTGATAAATTTCAAGTCAATCGGACTTATGGTGTAAGGGGCGTGGCCTTTCAAAGTTATCATTTTTAAGCCTTATTTACAGCGCCACCATGTGGCCAATTGGGTTCATATTTCTATGGAAGCACGTGCACACCATTTCCAGTTATTCCCCCAAGTTTCATATTTCTAGCTCATTCCAGCTCACGGGAATTTGAGCCAGCGCTGCAGACAACAAATAAGAATAATAATAACTAAAACAGACAAACATAGAAGGGTTCTACCGCTTTGCGGTTTGAACCCTAATTATTCACCTTTAGGAACATCCAAACTATGAACATGTCAACTGACTTAAATTACTTATTTTCTGATAATCTTCTTCATAGGTCTACGTGTGCCTACTTGGAGACCAGTACCATCGTGCTTACTACCACACCTGTCTCTCCAGTTTCTACTTCTCCTGTGAATCCAGCTAACTGGTCATCAGGCCTTAATGACATGCTGATGTGATGAGCAGGGAACCAACACAGGTTGACAGAGACATTTTGACTTTTCCAAAAAGACACTCAAACAGTAAAAGTCTTTTCTATCATTACATGTTTAGATCACTCATAAAGAAGCTGGTTGACATATTCAAAGACAAATTATGCTATTAACGATTCTGTAGTTTATTTATCTTAAACTCGTCTGTTATTAAAGATTTGAGCTTTGGTCAGTCATAATTACTTTATCAGTCTTTTTATTCAGAACTAAGTTCATCAACATGGCGCTTCATCTGGCACCAATAAGGCAAAACTTTACATTCCTAGACTAGGTGTAAAGATCAAAGAATAGCATCCATAAAACTTATCAGTTTTCGGTGTGTGATGATCCTCTTCCAACCTCATAGAACAATACTGGGTCAAAACATGTAGGCTAAACTTTGTTTTGACGGGTGGCAGTGTCATGAGGAAAGACATCAGGTTTATGTACACATTGCAATTTTCCAATTATATCTATTAACTGTATGTGCGAAATCAACATTTTTGCCTGAAACTGGCACGACAGGAACATGCTTTATCAAATATGTGGAGCCTGAAGTTTGGTGCCATTATGGTGCTGTTGAGGAGAGGTCAGGAGGTTATTAGAGACATTAGGAGTTATCTCTTTTTTTTTTACATAATCAGTGGGTTTTGAAAGGATTTTATGATTAATTTATCAGGGAAATGTTTCAAACTGTAGAAGAACCATGTGGTCCTTCAGTGTGAGTGAACACATTAAAAAACACACATTTTCCAGATGATAGAAGTTATGTTCTTGTTCTTAGCTCCTCCAGGTGCCGAGGTGAAACTGTTTTTGCTTCAATAAAAGCCAGACTTTGTGGAACATTTCAATCAGTCACTGTGTCAAAATATATTCGCCTGAGTGTCGGTCACAGGCAATAGTGTGTAAAGCAAACACCTGCTCACACTCACTCTCAAACACACAAACAAAGATTAACATTTCTGGTACATTCACATCAGATTTTTTTTCTTCAGTGACGTCAAAACTCTCTGGCTTAGTTGATTGGAAGTCTTGTTCATGTTAAAAAATAAATAAAACTAAACAGGTGTGTGTGTGTGTGTCTGTCTGTGTGTGTTCTCTCAGATGACACATCACACACACACACGCACACACAAAAAGACAGCTGAGACCACGGCGGTTACATGAACACATTTTTATTGCAATAGCTCTATCGAAAGCAAAAAAGTTTTGATAAATATAAACACTATGCCGATGCTCAAATCGCCTCTGAGTACCCCTCCTACCCCCCTTTCCCTCTATGAGGAAAAAAGAGAGCGAAAGAAAGAGAAGGAAATAAAACAAAAACAAAATAAGGAGGGGGCACCTGCTGAGGCACCGATCATAACATGAAAAAAGCGACAACTTGAGTTTTCCTTATTTACAGAAGGAGGATTTCCATTTCAACCAGTTTTCTCTTATTTTCTAAACTATTTTTTCTTCTTCTTTTGTATATAGGACGTACATTGCTGAAAAATAATGCACATACGAAGGATACACACCTCCACAGTATTTTTTTAAAACTCTCTTTCCTGTAAAGCTAATCAACAACAGCATTCAACTCGGAAACTAAGAACACAGGTAGCAGGGTAGAGTGGGATTTGCTCCCCCCCCTACCACCGAAATTCTCCGGAAGGTTTAGGGGGAGTAAACAGGCCTGATAGCAGGGCAATGAAAATCATCTTCATCATTATGGTTGCCATCGACAGCATTTCCAACTGTACTACACAGCAGCAAATAAACTGTAATATAGTTACAAAAAATAAACATTAGGCAGAGGTTGTAACCCATTTCTTTATACAAATAACTGCAAAATGCCTATGTACTCTTAAAAAAAATACTACCCTTGTATCACTTTGTCTTCAGAGAAACAAGGTTGCCCCAATGCAACAAAACAACCAAAAATAAGATGATTATTTTCCCTCTGTAAACTAGAATACAAAATAAACCAAAAGATTAGAGTAAAAAGGGAAATAAAAGTTTGCATAATGATGCAGTACCCTAACTCTTCTCTGCAAGGATTATATATTTTACGTAGGTCTCATTTCTTTCTCATTTCTCCCCCCCTAACAATAAAAATTCCTAAGAGCTGATTTTCAACTTCATTATCAGTAACATTGAGGACAGTTTTGAGGTTGAATTGTTGCCGTAATAAACACAGATTCTGTGTAAATGAATTCAGTCATGACAAAGAATTAAACGGGGTAAAATTCAACATGAAGGCAATCAGACATGAAGGACAAATATCCATTTTTGAATAATGCTTTAAATAAATTAAGGGAAATCCCCCCCCCCCCCCCCAAAAAAATATCCAGCTCAACCATTTTTGCCATAGCTTTGAAAACTCAAAAGCAACACGTCACTGTAGCACACAAAAAAACATTTTCCAAACATAACAAACAAAAGATGTTCTTGTTTGTCTCAGGTCACAGCAGCCTAAATATTCTTATATTCAATTCTTTGTTTGTTTAAAGGGCTCAAGGGGAAAAAGGAAAATAACTCAGATTGTTCTTATTGTACATTTAAGACACACAGGCTTAAAATCCTAACAGCATTTTATGGATTTTCACAGGGCCTGCTGCGGGGGAAGTTTAGCTTATTTATCCCAACCCTCCAGAGAGCATTTAGCGGGTAAAAAGGGGGTTTCTCCTGTTTCCTGTTACTGTACCAAACAAAAACTGTATATAAAGATGGACGACGTGTCTCCACTTCCTCCCACAGTACAAAAATGAAGCCATAATCCTGGCTGGTAATTTTTTTAACATACCATATTTATGACAACTCTCATTTGATGGACACGAGCTCTGTGTCGAGTCCTGCTCCATACTCTACTGCCGATTGGCTATCCCTGACTCCACCCTACCCCTAACCAACAGAGGCAACGAGTACGAACCAATCAGAGGCAAAGTTGTCGAAAATCTTTGCAGGGAAAGAAAATACAGCACCTGCGACATTGACTCCTTTTTATAGCATCTAATAACTAATTAAAACCAAACTCGTCAGAAAAATCAACACTCTTTAGGAAAAATTTTATTTGATGTGTACTATTACTTATTAATCTTTTTCGTCCACGCCAATTGAGATGTTTTGTCTACAATTTTGAGGAGCTGTCGAAGTCGTCCATCTTTATATACAGTCAACGGTACAGACAATGTTGGCATTAACCTCCACGCTTTGAGCCACACAGACAGCCTCATCGCTTAAAAGGGAGATGGGATGGAGGGAAGTGGTAACGATATTTGAAATATATTTTAAGTGGAGCGCCTAATGGGTGTGCTTGTGTCTTGGACTAGGATATGAAATGTTTTGGTGATTGCAAGAAAGTGTTATAATGTTGGTTAATGGCATAGTTCAGGATTTCTGAAATGAGCCTGTATGAGGTACGTATGTCAGTGGCGGTCAGCATGTCCCCAGTTTGGAGAAGCAGAGTTAAGAAGAAGCTAAGCAATGTACTGCTGTGGACAGGGTCTGTAGCAAAATGTATTTAACCACCTAAAAGAAGGCACTCCGGAGGGGAAAAAAAACTTATCAGTTCAATTGTACGGTATATTTAGAATATTTTCAGCGCTTACTTTGCCATCAGACAGCTATTTCCTTTGGAACTTCTGTATTCCTACGCATGAGTGCAACAGCAAGGAAACGCTGAAAATATTCTAAATACAGCGTACACTTGGATCCTGTCCACAGCAGTACATTGCTTAGCTTTTTCTCAACTCTGCTTCTGCAGACTGGGGACATGCTGACTGCCATCTACTATAGGTAGCCTACACATCATACAGATTAATTTCAAAAATCCCAAACTACCCCTTTAATGAGTCAGTCTTGACATTGACAAAATACCTGACACACTCTGTGATCAGATAGGTGCATCAACGCGATTCAAACAGTAGATGAAAATGTGTTTCACTGAACATGGAGTACCAGATGTGCAGAGTTCACCGCATCTGTGCAGTTCAGAGAGCATCACGTAAGCCGTCAGTCACCACGAACTGACCTTCACTTTGAGACCAGTCCCTGCAGTCACTGGAAAACACACTACTGCTGCTCTCTAAACCAAATAATTTAAATATACCTCAGCTCAGTCCCTCCCTCCCAGTTTAGCATCCCTGCTGTGCGGGGGCCCTAAATGGACAATAATGATGCGTCCCACACAAAAGCGCGGTGAGAGTGACAAGCCTTCATCCGTCCAAACAAATTAAAAAACAACAAAAAAGAATGGGCTGATAAAAAAAAAAAAGGGAAAAATCAGGAACGGGGCGAAGATAGCATCAGATGAGTGAATACTGAACAAAAAGAATGAAATTCTGTGGGCTGCGTTAGCTGTCCGTCTTTGTGTTTATGCACATTTCTCTATATGAAAACAGTCATGTGGGTAATAGTCATGGGAGACTAGCGCGGGTAGAAATGCTAAATATGGGCATATCAGTCCGTTAAAGTGTGAGAGAGAAGGGGCAGCAAGGCCCGGCTAAGACTGGGGTGGGTGTTCACGGCCTGCCCCAACTTGTGTGCGCATACATGTGGCTGTGTGTAACAGGGCAACTATGACCAGCGCGCTGCACCTGGAGCTGGAGCTCAGGTTACTGGAAACCTCTTTCTGTCACCCAGAGCCAATGAAGAACACCCCGGCATGCCTATGTGTGTGTAAGTGAAATGTCATGGACGTCATCAAGAGCCACTGACAAAGCGCAGAAACGGGGCACGCAGGAGTTAGAGTCGCCGAGGGCTGCATGATTACTCTGTGTGTCAGCATACATGCTACTGCCTACAAAGTACAGTATACGGTTCACTTGCAGAGATTTCATGAGTGTGCATTAGTCTTGTGTTTGCATCCCAGGGTCAACGTCTGTACTTTGTCCTTTTACCTTTCACAGCGTTGTGTGTCTCTATATGGCGTGCGTTTGTGTTGCTGCCACTCAACCTCGCTAACTTGAACTATGCTGCGGACCGTATGAGGTAAAACTGAAAATGTAAAAAATAAAAATGTCCTTCTTCCGTTTACCAAGTTCCTCAAGCTAACGTAACCGAGCAGCAGGGCGGTAAAACAACTTTTTCCATCCAACGGCCATAGCAGCTGAGTTTCCTCTACAAGCTCCTTCATTTATTACTAATGTCTTTTTTTAAAGGAATAGTTCGTTTTCTGTTTTATATGTAGTAGAGAAAGCCGCTGGGTTATCTTAGGTTAGCATAAAGACTTATGCTAAACAAACAGGGGAAACAGCTAGCCTAGCTCTGTCTGAAAGTGACTAAATCCACCTATCAGCAACTCTAAAGCTCACTAATTAAAATGTTATATCTCGTTTGTTTAACTTGTTGCAGAAGCCACATGTAAAAGCGACAATTCTCCATTTTACAGAGGGATGGGTGATGACAAGACTTCAGGAAATAGTCCCGCATATAACTCCTCATATATCACTTATTTCTATGGATTTAACAAACAAGACATGACATGTTAAACAGAGTTTTACAGGTGGGCTTTACAACTTTGGACAGAGCCAGGCTAGCCGTTCCCCCTGCTTCCATTCTTTATGCTAAGCTAAGCTAACCAGCTGCTGGCAGTAGCTTTGTATTTAACAGACTGACATGAGAGGGGTATCAATCTTCTCATGTAACACAAGGGAATAGAATACATTTTTCTTAAAATGTTGAACTATTCCTTTAAACACCTCAGTTTGATTCCCTTATCAGCAAAGAGGCTCTGAGAGGAGTAAGTTTTAAGACGAATAAAACTTTCCAGCATTCGATTGGTGGCCGGTGTTCCCCGCAATGCCGAGTACCGAGTGTCATGAAAGCAAACAAAGAAATGTACTGGAATATTTGTACCTATCGCAACAAATAAATAATATGTGCAACAGAATATGAGGAGAGTAATGCTGCACACTGTGACAAACTCATACTGGCACAGTACATCGTATTAGAAACTGGCCCGCAGACGCAATATTTTGTCTCTGAGATACAAACGCTACGCAAAAATGGTAATCCAAAGGGTGCTGGTACTGTGCCGTACCTCACTCAGAAAAGTATGGAAACAAGCACGGTACTTTCCATCCAGCCACCAGCTTGTACCATGTAATCCATAAAAAAAAAAAATAATACATTATACAATTTTGTCCACAATGTAATAACTGTACGGTACCGTATCCAGGATGGATTATGCATGGGGTAAAAAAGACTAATAAAAGATAAAAAATTAATATTTTAAATTCAATGTAACATATAAGTTTCTGTACCATAATGCCTTTGCTTAGTATTCTAGCCTCCCTTTATTAAAATCGTACGGAGAAGCAGAACCATCTGACAAGACTTTGATGGGGGGGGGGTTTGTGAGAGGGAAAAATCAACAGGACAAGATATGCATATAAAAACACAAAAAAATAAAAGATGACATACACATAAAAACTAAAAAACCGCAAGCGTTTTTGTCATCTGTTGTTATGTTGTTGGTGTTTTTCTGCACCCAGGATGGAGCGGCCTCTCAGGGTAGGTGAAGAGGTCAGAGGTCACCGGCAGGGTTGAGGCCATAGGTCACGAGCAGAGTCAAGTGCCCCGAGCAGATATGATGAGGAGGAAGGTATGGAACCTCTATCGACCCGTCACTCAGTCTGTGAGAAAATAAGAGAGAAAGAGATAATTAAAACAAACAAACAACAAAATACAATGACTGGTATTAAATGTTTTATACAAAATCCAGATCCACTCTCGAATACGGTCAACACTTTATTGCAAGGCTACATTTTATAATAGGGATACACCCAACGTTTGGCCACTGAAATTAATCAGATGAAAATAGCAACAAAAGCACTTTCGGTGTTCGGCCTAATACGTCAAAAGACGAAATAAATTTTAACGAACAATTACGTTGACATGTCGGCAGTGTGGAAGCATTTTAAAGTGTCAGAGAAAGACGCATGAATCACCGTTTGCAGACACTGTTCTGCTGAATTGTCTCCACACCATCTGAGGCTGACTTCTTAGCAAAGGCAACAAAAGGTCTGACCTGAGTGTTTCTGTCACTCGTTTCTGAGAAGGCAATTAAGCTAGCCGCACCTAAATTTGGAGTGCACACGTATGCAAGACTTTATGGTAAATCCACTGAAACGGACCAGTGCGAGCTGACAGGCAGGTGAGCGGCTTTATCCTGTTATTTTCTGTCTTTTCAAAGACAAGTGTTGCTGTATGAGTCTCCTACCTGAAGAGAGGCTATGAAGTCTTCATATTACATGATACGAGGACCACATACAACATTATTTATAGGGGTGGTGATGGCACGTAGATACGATGCTTGTCTATGATGTGGGAGACCAGGGTTCAATTCCCACTGTAAGCCATCCACCAATGTGTCCCTGAGCAAGACCCTTAACCCCTAGTTGCTCCAGAGGCGTGCAACCTCTGACATAAATAGCTTTGGATAAAAGTGTCAGCTAAATGAATAAATGTAATGTAAATGTATTTATCGAACACCTACCATAGTCTCTCCATAACCTGTGGGAAACACAGAGTAAGAAGCTCAATTTGACTATTAAATTTATGTCTCTGTAAAAAAAAACATTGGCAAAATAAATGGGAAAAACCTTGTTCAGTATTCAAGAAAGTTTTTCATTATATTCAGCTTCGGCAAAGAATTTGAATTTCGGTGCATCCCTATTTTATAAGGCACCTCGGTATCAGTAAGTTTTTTTTCCAATAATCTCTCAGATTTGGTTATAAACTTGTTGCGACAATAAAAAACAGCATACCTAACTACAACAACAACAAATAGGAACAATAAAGTTTCCCATCAAAGACCACAGAGATAGTTACAAGTACCAGTAACTATAAGATTACAGTATATGTTGAGTATATTGGCTTCAACAACAATAAAGGCCAAAATGGTAAAAATAAAAATACAAATGCAGAGAGGATCACTCTAGATGTGATCATCTAGTAAATAATGATATTTATCCAGAATATGGATAAGTCGAAGAAGTCAATTTTTCACTCTATGTAAGCTCTGCTCTTTTCTTAAAACAAAGTTCTCTGTATAAAGGCGAGCTCTGATGGAAAACTAATGCGCAAATATTTTGATGGCTGAATTCTTGTTGTAGTAATTTTTCAAGCAAATATGCTAAACATATGTTTAGTAACTGTGGTGATTTGTGGTTTTTCGTTACCTCATGTGATAGTAAAGTAATACATGATGATCTTTGGGTTTGGGACATTTGGGCAGACAAACAAAAGGATCTTAAGACGTCACCATTAGGCAAAAACAAACATTTTAACAGTTTCTGACTGTTTGTAGACAAAACAATTTGTTTAAGGGCAGATTAATCCATAATGAAAATAATCTCAAGTTGCAGCTGTAAAAATAAGAAGTATTCATAAAAGTGACAGCTACTGTGGCCAATGGAGAAAAAAAAAAATGTTGTTTTCTTTTTGCCTGATGTGACCCCCCTACCCCACAGGAATGTGGCTGGTTCACTGACAGTGGTTTTGGACTGGCAATATTAGTTGTTTTCAGACATTTTGAAGCCAAGTGCTGACTAATTTTGACTGGAATCTGTCTGACTTGGGACTCTTGGGTTACGTGGCCTTGCGTGGGCCGAGGGGTTTTATGAAACAAACAAAAAAAAGCTTTCAAAAATTTGTAAATGTTGACATTTTGCAGACCCCGACTCTCCGGGTCAGCTAAAGCCTGGAAATGACTAACAACCACGTTGCCTTTTAGTAGACTAATATACACACACACACACACACACACACTTCAGAGAGGTTATTTAACTGTAATATTGAAGATTATGGGAACAAGCCACAGATTCCTTTGCAGCTTAATCACAGCAAATGTATTTTGGCTTTTGTACAACAGTTACCGAGGTGTCAGAGAGAAGCCGTGCAGATGTGAGACTGAGAGAGCGGCTTGGTACAAACTACTCGCTGAATGAAAAAAAGAAAAACTGTTTGCCTGGTAAATAACTGAGCGTGGCCGGTGAACTTTGGATATAGCTTGCTGCCAAGCAGACGCATACACACACACACACACACACACACATAAAGTTTGTTTCCTGCCCTGCTATCGTGGCCGGGCCCAGGCACGTCAGGTCTGCTGTTTTGGTGCAGCCTAGCGGCCCCGAATGACCCTGTCAATGGCCGCCGTCCAGCTGGGTTATTCCACTGAGAGCGAGGCTTTGTCTGACACAACAATGTGAGCAGCACGCCTCAATACAGATGCTTTGACAGGGGGCACTGCTGGAATGTTGCTTCTCTGTTTATTAGCCAGGGGGATGGAGGAATGGATGAACAGACTGACTGACAGAAAGACAGGAGCATGCGGTTCGCAGAGAAGAGGAGTGACAGTACACAAAAAAAGAATATTTAACAGAAACTGAGAGACATTAACTAGATGGGGGTGGGGAATAATATGCCAAAAACAAGAGGGAGGGGAGGAGCAACACTTCCTGCTACACGGCAGCCTGTATAAAGAAGTTCTAAGCCAAAATAAAACTCAAACACCCTCTCAGACCTACACAATATTTACTTGGGCATGCTTTGCAATGTCCCCTGATTTTTAAATGATTTTGTAATCCCTTTCACAATAGTACATTATGTAGTACAGTCATTTAGTTGTACTTAATGTGTATACAGTTTTTAATAATGTACAGTACATAGAATAGACACAGAATCCTTTCACAAAATTAATCACTTGGAGCCTTTCAGAGCGAATCAACTACAGGAAACGGACTATAACTTCGCATGCTCACCAAAATATGTTGCTTTTCAGCAATTTCTTCAGCAGATCCGTTTTAAATATTGCTGGAAAGATACAAGGAGAGACGGACATGTGATTAAAGGTGCTCCGATTGATCGGCCGCTGATCATTCAATCTAAACAGTCGATCAGATGATGCAACGCCCCTTAGGCATATCAACGGCCGGCGACACACAGAGAGAGGTTTTGATCATTTCGATCGACGACACACCTCGTTCCACACGCAGCTCACCTGCCGCTGTGGAAACTGAATCCCGGGTGGAAAAATCCAAAACTGTTGGCCGACTTAAAACATACTGCTGACAAAGAAAGCAGAAACATATGGGGAGAGAGAAAAAGAAAGGCGGGGCGAGCAGGCCGGTGTGTTTACAATAAGAGACCAGAGGTGTAGGTGTGTGAGACCTGAAGGGAAAAGCAAGGCAGATTAAAGTCGCTTGTGAGTAAACACTAAAATAAGGTGGAAACTTAAATAGAACTAAGTGGTAAAATAAGAAATAACCTATTAGAAAAAGAAATCTGTCATTCTGTTATGCTCCCAATAACCAAGCATAGGCTGCTTTGATTAAGTTGTGTCTAAGAGAGAGAGTGGAACGTGTTGCACTTGTTGCCTGCTAATAAATGTCTTTTCTTCTCACTTAAAGTGAATGCACATTATACAGTGCTGGGCAAGAGCAAGAACAATTAGTAAATAAATAATGCCACACATAGAACAGAAGGCTTCAAATAGACCCCATGATTGGTGAGAGGTATCCGTCAATACTGCTTCCAGAAATCTGTCCCATAAAAACCCTGATCACTGATTAATCCATAAAATACACAGTAAGATGTAATTTTGCCTATATCTCATATGACAAAATCTTATTTCATGACTTCTCCAGGCCTGGAAAATAAAATTCCATGACCGTGGGTAGGGATGAAACGGTATGAAAATTTCATATCACGATTATAGTGACCAAAACTATCACGGTTATCAGTATTATTACGGTATTGATAAACACACTGAAACCATTTCAACAAGTTTTATATTAAAATCTACACATACAAATGCCATTTTGTTTGCATAAAAAATAAAATAACAGCAAATACCTTTTAGCATAAGCATATGAAAATCATTTAAGTGTGCATTATCAAGATTTTATATTTTATAGGTAATACAAACAAGTAAGTCTTTAGAAGACAGTGATAGTAACTGCAATGAGCCCAACAACTGACATAAATACAGAGGAGTCTGTAGCGTTTCTAGATATGCTGGTTGGTTGACTAAACTGCGTAACGTGTCACACGACGCTCACAGCAGCAGAACAACGTGTAGCGTTTTTACAAGAGCAGCAACACTGAGAGCTTCAGTTTACACGCTGTTAGCAAGTCAGAGAGACAAACCAAAGCTAAAAGTTAACTCACCCTGCGTTAACTATAAGGTTATTTACTTCAATCAAGTTTCCCTCAGCGCTCTCATAAAAACTAAAATACGACTGGACTTCAGAGTGACTGAAAAATCTCGGCAGCGTTGTCTTCCACTGTGTCCCAAACAAACCCACGTTGCATTCTGCGCATGCGCACCTGCTTCTGGGAGACGCTGGACAGTGTTTGCCGTGATATTATAACAGCGCGGTTAACCGTACCCGGTTATCATGGTAATTAAAATGTGTACGGTAATGATAACCTTCGGGAATTTTACCATGGTTTACCGTTAAACCGGTAATCGTTTCATCCCTAATGTGCAATAACAGAGTTATTGTACTCAAGATTGTAAACATCAAGCTTGGGCAGCACTGTTCTTAACTGTGGTCATGACAATAAAGAAAACTTGATTTTTAGTGTGTTTGTGTGTGAGATGGAGAGAGCGAGAGCCAGAGCCAGA